GGAGAGAGTTCTATATATATATTATATATATATATATTATATATATAATATATATATATATACTATATGAGAAGATGTAGAGAGAGAGAGAGAGAGAGAGAGAGACAGAGAGGAGAGAGAAGAGAAGAGAGAGAGGAGAGAGAGAGAGAGAGAGCGAGAGAGAGAGAGAGAAGAGGAGAGACAGGGAAGCAAGATCAGTAGAGAGAGAGAGAGAGAGCTATCGCGTCACAATCACAAGCGACCTGGCCTAGAGCACGCGACAGCAAGCAAGCACACCCAAAACCCACAAAAGGCAAGCAAGCAACACACCACGAACGCGCACGCACACACACACACACACACACACACACACACACAGCACACACACCACACACACACAACACACACACACACACACACACACTCATCACTCACTCACTCAATCACTCACTCACTCAACTCTTCTCTCTCTCTCGCACACACCATCACGTACACACACACGCACGCGACACAACACGCACATACACGCAAAGGAAAATGCCCAGAGGCCGCTGATAACACTGATGACTCTGCACCACATTGCTGTAAACGCAGCAAACGGCGATCGAGCGGAAAAGGGGCGAATTTCGGAAGGAATAGGGGAGGGGGAGGAGGAAGGGGGAAGAGGGGTACGAAAGGGAGGCAGAGGGGGAAGGGGGGGAAGGGAGGGAGGGAGAGGGGCGAAGAGGGGGAAGGAGGGGCAGGGAGAGGGAGAGAGGGCGGTAAGGAAGGAGGAGAGGGGGAGGAAAGAGATTGAGGGGGGAAGAGAAGAGAATAGAATAGGGATGAAGGGAGGGAAAAAGACAGATTAGAGAGAAAGCGGAAGAGAGGGAAGAAGACAAAAGAGAAGAAAAGAGAACAAAAAAATCCATGAGAAGAGAGAAAAGATCACAAAAGCAAGCAAGCGGAAAAAAAGATAGAAAAAGTCAAACGATAGAGAGAAAAAACCAAGCAAAGACTTAGAAAGACAGACAGAGACCGAGAGGAATTCAGACCCGTAAAAGCAACACAGAAGGAGAGAGAGAGAGAGAGAGAGACGAGATGAGAGAATGAGAGAGGAGAGAGGAGAGAGAGAGAGTTAGAGAGAGAAGAGAGAGAGAGAGAGAGAGAGAGAGAGAGAGAGAGAGAGCGAGCGAGCTAAGGGATTTGTAGATAGAGAGCTAGATAGATAGAAAGAGCTAGATAGATAGATAGAGAGAGCTAGATAGATAGAGAGAGAGACAGACAGAGAGAGGGAGCGAAAGAGAACAGGATATCACGGGTTGGACAAATGGCGCGAGGGAAGTTCGCAAAGAATGGGTCAGCGGGGAAGGGAAGGGAGGAAGGGAGGAATGCCTGGCCAAACGTCGCACAACCGCTAGGTGCTGGAGGAGATAAGGGATAAAAAAGGTGGGAGAAAAGGGAGAACAATGATGGGGGAGAGGGAGAAAAGGGGGGGAGGGAGAAAATGATGGGGGGAGAGGGAGAAAAGGGGAAAGGGGAGAAAAATGATGGAGAGAAAGAAAAAGAATGGAGAGAAAAAGGATGAGATAATATGGGGTAAGGAAAAAGGGGAAAAGAGAAGGGGCGAAAAGGGAAGACAGAAAGAACGAGAGAAAAACGAAGAAAATGGGAAGGCAAGACATGGTGGTGGAACAGCGAATAAAAAGGGGGATAAGGGGTGGCAAAAATGTAGAAGAAAGAAAATGAGAAGGAATGAAATAGGGGGGGGGGACGAAGAGAGAAAAAAAAAGTGTGGAGAAAAATAAGGAAAATTAAGAAACGAAGGAGGAGGAGCAGATGAAGCAGAGCGAAAGGAAACGAAGACGAAAAGAAGATGGAAGAGGAAGGTGGGAGACAAACGGTTTGAGATGAACCAGAAAAATGAGAAGCGGAGAGCACAGAAGAGAGAGAGGAGAGGAGAGGAATGGGGGTGAGGGGGGGGGGTGAGGGAGAGGAGGTGAGGAAGGTGGAGGGAGGGGAGGGGGAGGGGCTACAGGAGGAGGAGGAGGAGGGAGGAGGGGAGGAGGGAGGCAGGAGGAGAGGAGGAGAGGAGAGAGGGGGGGAGGAGGATAAGGCACCACGGAGATAAGAGAATAGAAGGCACTAGACAAAGCTCATGCAAGGGCCTCCGCGCTGATAAGGCCCGTTTGCAGAGACGCCCAAACAAGGCATCAAAGAGATCATGAGTGCCAGAGCGCGGGCGGGGCGGGCGGGTGGGCGGGCAGTGGAGCGAAAGGGGCGGGGGGGCAGATGGGGAGCGAAGGATGGGGCGGGCAAGAACAGGTAGAGGAAGTGGGGCGCTTGGTGCGCAGTGGCGGCAGAGGGGAAAGGAGGAGGGGAGGGAGGGGATGGGGAGAGGGAGGGAGGTGGTGGTAGAGGAGGATGGGGGAAGGAGATAGGTGGTAGAGGTGAGGTAGGGATTAGGGAGAGTGGAGGAGGAGGAGGAGGAGGACAGGGATGGGAGAAGAAGATTAGCTTATGACGTGATAGATGGAGGGAGGGAAAGGATAGGGAAAGGTGAAGCTAGGGTATCGGGGAGAGTGATAGGGCTTAAGGATGGACCGGAGGGGTGGAAGTGGAGGGAAGGGGAGAGGGGGGAGGGGGGACTGCGCGAGCCGGGGTGAGGGCGAGTATCAGTTAGTTTATAGGGTATGTAGAAGTTTCCCATTGTGCGGCTTCCCGGGCGTGTTTGCGGCAGCGGTCGGGCAGCCATGCGCGCCCCGATTCTTCCCCGATTCACGCCCGCGTAAATTCTCGCTGAATCCGAACCAGTGCAGCGGGGGGCGGGGGCGGGGCGAGTGGGAAAAAAAGGCAGGCGAGGGGGAGAGAGGAGAGCAGAGGCGGCTGAGGGGGGGGGAGGGAAAGGGCGAGGAGAAGGGGCGGAAAGGTAGGGGGAGAAGAAGAGGTGCGGAGTGGGGGAGGGGTAAAGGGCGGAGGACGATGGGGGGGGGGAAAGGATAGGGGAAGAGAGAGAGAGAAGAAGAGAGAAGGCCGGCGAGGGAGGCGGGAGGAAGGCGACGGGCGGGAAAAGGCAGGGTGAGGAGAGAGAACGATGAGAGGCGGCGAAGGGGGAAAAAAAGGCAGGCGGGGCGAGAGGGGGAGTGTGAGGGAGAGAGGCGGCGAGGGGGGAGGGGGAGGGGTGGGAGGCGAGTGGGAAAAGACACGGGTATAGGGAGAAGAGAGAGCAGCGAAGGGGGAAGAAGGCGGCGGGCGGAGGAAGGGGGAAAGGGGTGGTTAAATGATCGAGGGCGCGCCTTGGATCCGCGCGAGTTCGAACCTCCAACGAACACACGCAACGGTTCGGGCTTCGGAATTCTCCAAAGGAGTTTGAGAAGTCTGAGCAGCGATTATTAGGCTTGCTTGTACGGCGCTAAAAGAAGCAAAGGCAAGCTGAACATAATGTTCTCATTCACTTCCGGGTCTTCAAAAACGCCTCCTCTCTTCTTTTCTCCCCCCCCATCTCGCTCTGTTTTCTCTCTCGTGCTCGTGCTCGTCTCTCTCTCTAAACACACCACTCACGCTCAAAAACACACAGAACGCGACCCCCACGGCGCTCTCCCTCTTCATACGACAGCCTCGTTAAAACCCTCGCGTCGCTTAGACAACCATTAAAACTCCAGGCCAAAAAGAAGACAGAGAAGATGTCATTAGAGAGACAAGAGCTAGTTGCTCCAGTTACAGAGAGCGAGGGAGAGGGAGGGTAGGCGAGGAGGCAGAAGGGGGGAGGGGAGGGAGGGGGGAGAGAGGAGGAGGGAAGTGAGAGGGGAGGAAAACGAGAAAAAGAGGAGAAGAGAGAGAGAGCGGAAGAAGAGAGAGAGAAGAGATGAGTAGAAGGATGAGAAAAAAGAGCAATGAAAGAGAGGAGAGGATGGCGAGAAAAAAATATGAGAAGAAACCAAACTGAGAAAAAACGAGAAAGAGAGAGGAGGAGAACAAAGAGAAATGGAAAGGAAGACCGACCGATGGCCAACTGCAGACGCAGGGAGTAACGCTGAGCCAGAGCCAGCGCTCAACTAAAGGCACAAGTTGCAATTGAGTGGTCCAGGGTTTAGCCTTACTAGTTGCAGGAAAGCAAGTAGAGCAGGGCTATGTGAGGTGGGGGAGGCGCGCGCGTGAGGATTAGTAGCGACTGGACATGTGAATCATTAAGACACGTTCGAATAGTGCGTGTTACCCGTCATCGCTTGCCACTATTAACAACTGTTTGCCATATATACTTCCCGCCGTCAGAAACCGCCTTGAAGATTTGAACAAGGCAAGGAAGAATTTTGTGTCGTGGTGCGTGAATGTGAAAAGAAAAAGAGAGAGAGAGAGAGAGAGATGGCGCCGAGAGAGCCGGAGAGAGAGATGAGAGAGAGAGAGGTTAGACGAGAGAGAGGAGGAGAGAGAGATGAGACGAGAGAGGAGTATGGGAGAAGAAGGAAAGAAAGAAAGAAAGAAAAGAAGAAAGAAAGACGCCAGTATAGAAAGAAAGCAGAAGAAGAGATAAGGCGCGAGAGAAGAAGAAGAGAAAGAATAAGGAAAAGAGAAAAGAAGAGAAATAGGAAGACAACGAAAAGAAAGAGAAGAAAGAGGAAAGAGAAGAGAAATGCAGAGAGGAGGTGAGGAGAGAGAAGATGAGAGACGAGAGAGAGCAGAAGAGAGAGAGTAAGTGGGAGACGATGAGAGACTGAGAACCGAGAGAAGACGAGAGAGAGAGACAGAGCTAGGAGAGAGAGAGAGAGATGGAGAGAGAGGAAGAAAATAAGAGAGAGAAAAGAGAAGAGACAAAAGAAAGAGAAAGAAAAGCCCCAAACAAGCAAGAGAAAAGAGAAGGCAAGAGTAAAGAGAAACGAAAAAAAAAAGAGTGCGAGGACAGCAGATACCCCCGAAAAAAACCACCCACGCGACGAAAGCCAGAGACGCCCACTTTGCTCTCTCTCTTCTCGCGTGGAGGCGGTGAAGCGATCCCGCGCGAGGAAACGGGCGAGAGGCAGGATAAACAGGGTAACCCGAGCCCCGCCCACCGCCGCTACAACAGTATCAACAGGGTGCGCGGACGCTACAGGACGAGGCGGCGCGCACTGCAGTTCACAGGGACGAAGACTACATACGTAACGCCCACAAGCGAAGCGTATATCATGAAACGCATACGTAAAACTTGTATAATGGAACGCATAAGCAAAACTTACATAATGGAACGCACAGGTAAAATTTAAATAATGGAACGCACACGTAAAACTTACATAATGGAACGCACACGTAAAACTTACATAATGGAACGCACACGTAAAACTTACACAATGGAACGCACACGTAAAATATACATAATGCAACGTCAAAAATAATAACACACGCCCCCCCACCCCACACACACACACGCACGCAACACACACACCCCATAAGGAGAACACTTCCGAACGCGCCAAACGTACACACTCAGCGCCCTTGCAATCCACACTTCGCACACACGATCAAGACGCTGCGTGGCCGGGCCGGGCTGAACGTGTAATTAAGAGTGAACGCAGATGAAGCTTAAGTATGTGTAATGAATCTCAGTCTTGCTCAAGGTTGAAACTGCGTCGACTTGACGGCTTTATATAAGTTGAGTGAGGAGGAGGAGGGGGAGGAGGAAGGAGGAGGAGGAGGAAGGGGAGGAGGGAGAGGGGGTGAGGGGGGATTAGGAAATGAGGAGGAGGAGGGGGAGGAGGGAGGAGGAGGAGGGGAGGGAGGAGAGGAGGAGGGAAGAGGGAGAAGGACGAGGGAGGAAGGGATTAGGAGGGAGGAAGAGGGGAAGGGGGGGGATAATGATAGTCATGATAACGAGGTGTATGGGAGGGGGACGAAGGAGGAAGGAGGAGGAGGAGGAGGAGGAGAGGAAGACTAGGAGAGAAGAGAAAGAAGACGCAGCGGAGGGAGAAAGGAAAGGGAGGAGGAGGAGGAGAGGGCGGAAGACGCAGAGGAGAAAAGAAGAAGAAGACAGGGAAGGAGAGGCGGAAGGCGAGGCGGAGTAGGAGAGAGAGAAAGCAACTCGATAGACAGAAAGGCACGATAAAATGAAGCGAAGGGTAAGAAAACCAAAAGAGAGGAAACCAACCGAGAAAGAAAAACGAAAAGAAACAGTCAAGAACGCAAGCCGAGGAAGGGAGCAAGTTAGCCAGCGAAACAAAGAAACTGGAAAGAAGAAGAAGAAAAACAGCAAAACAGAATAGAGGAAGAAGAAAAAAGAAACGGCAAAGAAAGGGAAATGCCTAAAAAAAAACATCAAAGAATCGGGAACAAACAAGGAGGAACAGAGGGGGGCGTGCATGTCAAGGGAGCACTAGCGGACCTCCCTTCGTGTTATCTCTCCCTTGGCGATTCTCTCTCTCTCTCATCTCTCTCTCTCTGCTGTCTCTCTGCCTCTTCTCTCCTCTCTCTCTCTCTCCTCTCACTTTCTCTCTCTCTCACTCTCACTCTCTCTCTCTCACTCTCACTCTCTCTCTCTCTCACTCACTCTTCTCTCCTCTCTCTCACTCACTCTCCCTCCTCTCTCCCTCTCTCTTACGACTCTTATTACACACGCTATCTTGTATCCCCCTAGGTCTGCTAGCCATCTGCTGCCCTCTGCTTGCACTACCACCACCTGCTGCGCCCCTTGCATCGTGCACACTGACACATACTTCATGTATCAGTGTCACTCTAAACGCCTAAAGTTATATTTTGGCTCTCGCTCTATCTCTTCCTTCTTTCTCCTCTCTTTTTATTCGGTCAATTCTCCTCTCTCCTCTTTCCTTCCCTCCGTCCATCCGTCCTTCACATTCCCCTTTCTCGCCCCTCCCCTCCTCCTACCCACCTACTCCTACTCTCTCTCTCTCTCTCTCTCTCTCTCTCTCTCTCCTCTCTCTCTCTCTCTCTCTCTCTCTCTCTCTCTCTCTCTTCTCTCTCTCTCTCTCTCCCCCCACCCTCTCTCTCCCATCTATCTTCATCAACCCCCACCACTCCCCACCTTCATCACACGCGGCAATTTCCTCCTCAAACACAATATGTTTCCACCGACTGCATAAAGGAAACATCCTAATCCCCCCCCCCCCCCCTCCCCTCCCTCTCCCCGGAACCTATCCTCCCTCCTCTCCTCTCCTCCTTCCCTCCCCCCCCCCCTCCCTCCTCCCACTTACGTGATCCCCACCCCCCCTCATATCCCCCCCCTCCCTTCCCCACCTTATATCCCCCTTCCCGGCGACTGTTCATAAATCGTCATTTACCGTAAAACAATGGGATCCCGCGACCGAAGAAAAACACGAGGGGGGAAATTGCTTTTTAAAAAGTTGCGTGGCGAAGGGAAATGATCAATTGTTTGTTTTTTCCCTTCGTCATTATTTCTTATTCTCTCTCTCATTCTCTCTCTCTCTCTTATTTTCTTCTTTCTCTCTCTCTCTCTTTCATTTCTCCTCTCTCCCTCCCCCCTCTCTCCTTCTCTCTTTCTCTCTCTCTCTCTCTTCTCTCTCTCTCTCTCTCTCTCTCTCTCTCTCTCTCTCTCTCTTCTCTCTCTCTCTCTCTCTCTCTCTCTCCAAATTGGATTCGTGTTGATCATTGTACCACGTGCTTTGTGCGCGCGCATTAGTGTGGAAATCTTTATAGGCCTATAACGCTTATTACGGCCGACGCAACAACCATATACACGAACTTCCTGAGCAACCCTTAAAAAGCTTATACAAACCCACAACACGTACGCCTATTATCCCTTAACAGCTCCCCCCCTCCCCTAAGCACCCTTACCGAAAACCCAACTAATGTCCCTTCTCCCCTTCTCCCCTTTGCCCCCCCCCCCTCCCTCCTTTGCTTTTCCCTGGCACCATCTTCCGAGGTGGTGGAGTATGGACTTAATGGCAAATATCCCCTACCGGCGTTCCTTCCACTCCCCCCCTCCCCCTAGCCTTTAACCCCAACCCCTACCCCAGCCCATATTCTCTACTCCCCCCTACCTTCTACCCTCCCCTCCCCCCCCCATAGCCATCACCACTGCCCCCACATCGCTACTAATGAAGTGTCGTCCAGCCTAATGGCTTGGCCTTTCCCTCTTCTCCCTTCCCCTCTCTCTCCTACCCCTCACCTTTCTTCCCCCCTCCTCTCCCCTCCTCTCCTTCCTATTCCTTTCCTCGGCCCTCCTCCATCTCCTCCTCTTCCTAGTCCTCCGTTCCCTCGGCCGATGATGTTCCGAAGGTCGGAAATCCCACTTAAAATGCAATCGGGAGAGGCTTAGCGAGGAGGGGAGTAATGACGCTATCTCCCCTCTATCGGTGTGAATATTAAGAAAAACGAGCGAGACCCAAGGTGGGGGGGGGGGGGGGGGGGAGAGAGGGAGAGAGGAAGAGCTTTGCCTACAGATTTATTCGTCTTGTCTAAGGAGAAAGAGGGAGGGAGGAGGGAGGGAGGGAGGGAGAGAAGGTAGGGAGGATACAATTAAGAAAGAAAATGAGGAGGAAGGGAGGGGAATTAAAGGGGGAGACGGGAAGTAGAACGAAGGGAAAGGAAGGAAGAAAAAAGAGAAGAAAAAAAAATAGAAATAAAGATTAAGACGAAAGTAAAGAAGATAACGTGGGAACATACGGAAGAAAGAAAACCACAAGAACACACAAAAAAAAACAGAAGCAAAGCCAGAGAAGAAAGTGAAGAAGAGAAGAGGAGAAGAAGGTGGAAAAGAAAAACAAAAGCCAACAGGGCCTCGTACAAGTGTGACGTCAACAGGCAAGTGTTTACAAGTTCATCACGACTCCCCCCCCCCCACGGGTGAGGGAGTGGGTGGGAGACGAGAAGAAAGCAGAGTGAGGGAGGGGAAATTGGAGTAAAGGAAGAAAGACGAAGGAGTGGAGGTAAATAGGGAGAAAGAGGAATCATGATAATTGTAATAGTAACAACAACAAAACAACAATAATGATGATAATAATGACAATACCAATAACAATAACAGCAATAATAAAGATTGCTAACAATAACGACATCAATAACAACTGGTAGAAAGCGAGGCTGAGAGAACGAGAGAAAAACAATACAAAACAGGGAAAGGGAAAAGGGCAAAAAGAGAGGAATGAGAAGAAACACGAGGATAGAAAAAAAAAAAAAAAAAGAGAAAAGAAAGTAAAGGTAAATAGACGAGAACCTGCACAGTTTAGAGAGAGGAGGAGAGGAGGAGGGAGAGAGGAGGAGGGAGGAGAGGAGGGGAGGGGAGGGGGGCGGAAACCTTGTACCTCCGACGTTAGCTTAATCAAATAAAACGCCCAATCTAAAGCGGCAGACTGTTGTTAAGCCTGGAGGCGTGAATCTAATTGTCCTCTGCACGATCCAGGCGACGACGTTGGTCCCGCATAGGCCTACCTACCTACCTCCCCTCCCCTCCTCTCCTCTCTCCCTCTCTGCCTCTCAAATTTGCTTTCGCGTACGGCTCTATCTTTTTTTTCTTCCCTTTCTCCCTTCCTTATTCTCTTCCTTCATTTATTCTTTCCATGCCTTCTCCCTCCCCTCCCCCCCCTTCCTCTCCTCTCCTCCCTCCCCTTCCTTCCTTCCTTCCTCCTCCTCCTCCTCCTCCTTCCTCCCTCCCTCCTCCTTCCCTCCTCTCCTCCCCTCCCTCCTCCTTCCTCCCTCTCCTTCCTCCTCCTCCTCCTCCTCCCTCCTCCTCCTCCTCCTCCTCCCTCCTCCCCCGCTCCCCTTCCCCCTTCCCCCCAACCCAAAAACAACTTAGGTCGTCAGCGCGAGCCTCCAGTAATCAAACTTGGGTAATCCCGGACCCTCTTCGCCGGCTTTCCCCTCATCCATTACGACGAGGGGAAGAGAAGGACGAGGGGAGGAGAGGAAGAGCGGAGAGAGAGGGGAGAGAGGAGAGATAAGAGAGAGAGTGAAAGAAAGGAAGGGAAAAGAAGAGAGAGAGGAAGCGAAGAGAAAGGGAGGGAGGGAAAGGAAGGGAAGAGAAAGAGAGGAAAGAGGAAGGGAGGGAGGGAGGGAGAGGGAAGAGAGAAGAAAAAGAAAGAAGAAAAGAGAAAGAAAAAGAAAAAAGAGAAAGAGAGGAGGAGTGGAGAAGAAAGAGGGACAAGGACAGACTCATGCACATCATCTCGAGAGGGTGAGAGGGAGGCCAAATGCTTAAGGAGAGGGTGGGGTGGGGGGGGGGGGTGAGGGGAGAGATAGTGAATGTGCTGAATGGTCATTACGAAGGCGTAGGAGACGAGGGGGAGAGAGAGAGAGAGAGAGAGAGAGAGAGATGGATGGGTATGGATCGGGATAAGTGGGGCGTGGTGCTCCGTGGGCGCATACAAAATAATGAGGAAGCTGAAGATGACGGCGATGACGATGGTGACAATGGCAAAGAAGATGAGGATGAGGATGGAGATGACGAGACGACGATGGTGAAGATGATAATGATAATGATGACGATGGTGACAATGAAGATGAAGATGACGGTGACGATGATGACAATGAAGATGATAACGATGAAGATGACGATGACGATGGTGAAGATAATGACGATGACGATGGAAGACGAAGACGAGCAGAGAACCCACCAACCCACGCGCACTGACTGACAACCAACAACCAACCGACCAACCGACCGATCGCGACGACAAACCAATCATCCCCCCCCCCCCACGTCCTTTCACCAAGGCGAGGGCGCTTATTTTTAGAAAGATGACCCTCTGCCACCCTTCCCCCCCTTTTCCCCCCTTTTCCCCTCGTCATAAAGGTCGAGCTGGCCGGCCCTCTGTCACTAGCGCACTCAAGGGTTAAGGGGAAGAGAAGAGGAAGAAGGGGGGGGGGGGAGGGGTTGGCTGACGGACAAGTGGAAAAAAAGGGGTTGAGGATGAGGGAAGAGGCAGAAAGATGATGATGGATGAAGGGGGAAGAGGAGGAGAAAGAAGAATGAAGGAGGAGGATGAAAAAGGAAAGGAGGATGGATGAGGAAGAGGAAGAGGAAGGAAGAAGAGGAGGAGGGGGCAGAGGGAGGGAGGAACGGGAAGGAGAGAGTTAACCAGAAGAGATGATAAACTTAAAGAGCACAATAAAAATTCTTCAACAAAAAGATCACCGATGACGCTGAAGACATAAACAAGAAATAACAAAAAAAAAGGGAAAACGGGGGAAGGAAAACCACACGAAAGCTACGGACACGACACGCAGGAAAAGCGATAAGAACGTAAATAAAAAAGGTGAAACAAAACGAAACCACGCCTCTTGCAAACACCCTAACCCCCCCCCTTCCCTGTATGCCCACCCCACCCCCACCCACCCCTTTATACCCCCCTCCCTACTCCAACCCACCACCCCACCCCTGTATACCCCCACCCTACTCCAACCCCCACCCACCCCACCTCCACCCCCACCCCACCCCCAACATCACTCATTGCATAAGGCTATCCCCCACCCCCACCCCTCCTCGTCTCGGCCACTCGTATATAAACCTCTATACACCTTTGTAAACTCCACTGGGGCTAAAAGGCTTGCATTATGAATGAACAAAAAAACATACAGGGGGTTGGAGAGGGGGGAGGGGGGGAGAGAGAGAGGAGAGGAGGAGGAGGGGGAGAGAGGAGGAGGAGAGAGAGGAGGTGAGAGAGAGAGAAGGAGGAGAGAAGAGGAGGAGGAGAGAGAGGAGGAGGAAAATGAGGAAGAGGA